CCCAGGGCCACGGCGAGACCGGCAGAGCGCGGAGCCGGGGCCGTGGTGAGGCAGGCAGCGAGAGGAGGGGAGCTCCTTACCCCTGCGGGGCCCTGGCTCATCAGTGAGCCAGGTCCTGCCACAGCTGCTCTGAGGGCTGTGGGGAGCGGGGCTGCCCCAGCCGCGCCTAATTGGACAAGCTGGGGATGGGCTCTGCCCCTTGCTCCCAGTGCGTGGCCGGGGGAGCTGCAGCATGACCCATGCCCTGCCCACGAGGTAAGTTCCCGCATGGAGCTGGGCGTGCCTCGGGGCTGGGCCAGGGCGGATGGGGTAAGTTCCCGTGCGGAGCTGGGGGCGCCTCGGGGCTGGGTTGGGGCTGTGTGTGTGCGCGTGCATGCATGCGCGTGCGCTTCTCAGCACATCCCAATAGCTGCTTTGGCTCTGTCTGCTGCAACACACGTGCACATTTCCAGACCTATTTCATTGTCACTTCCTGCAACTTCATTGGTGTTAAAGGTCACATGACATCACTTCCTGGTGTGATGTCACTTCCTGTGAAGTCTTTGAATATGGCTTTCTGGCCTATTGGGTGATAAAAAGTTTGTGATATGGCCCCACATTCAAAAAGGTTGGACACCCCTGGGTTAAATAGTTAACCAATGATACAGCAGATCAGACACAGCTGTTGCTGGGAGCTGCTCCCTGGCCCTTTGACTGGAGTGGGAGGGGGCGGTAGCAAATCCAGCACTTGAAGCCCTGTGCTGGGAGAGAGCAAGCACCTTTGAACCAGCAAGTAATGGCTTAACTGACAAGTTGTTAGGTTGTCTGCTGTTTTCCTTTTTAACCTCATACACTATGGGTACCAGTCCCCCTTGCCCCTCAGCCCCCCTATCCCCCTCCCCTCGCTCCTGCTCCTTCTGCCTGCCTGCTGTCTTCTGATTCCTGCTAAGGCACTGAAGGGCTTCCCTTCCCCCCACCTTCCCTGCCAGACTGTGCCTGCAGAGCTAAACGATAACCAGTAAACTAATCGGTTATCACTGGGCTTATTGGCTAAACGAATAATTGTTTAGCCTTTGGCATCCCTACTCTGCAGTCAAGGAGCAGTAGAAAAGCCCCACTGCACCACTCATGGATCAGTCCCTGGCCATACAGACTATCTTTAATCTCTAACTGATGTTCCCTATAACACTTTCACTTTATTATTATTTTCATCTTACTCTGCTATATTTAAAATCTCTGTAGTCTTGGAGCTGGAGGGGTGGCTTTTGGGAGCCCAGGTCAACCCCGGTGATGCCTGTGGGAGGGAGAGGCCAGCAAGGAGCTCCCTGTGTGAGAGCTTCGCCACCCGCCAGCCCCTCTGCGCGGCCGAGTCGCCTGCCAGGGGAGAGGTCTCTATTCTGCAGCAGTCCTAATGGTTCAAATCTAAATCAGTCTGGAATTTTGAAGGTGATTTTGCATGGGGGAGAAAAGGCAACTGTTTTTGTTATGTTGACTTCTTCCCTCCCCCTGCAAAATCTGTAACTGATCTCTCATTTCCTAGCTGTCAAAGACAGTTTGCTCCTAAATGAATGAATTTAATGAAGGCTAAAGTCAAGGCCACATTTAAATAAATGATTGTGGTGTCAAGAATGTCTTATTTCCAGAATTTAATCCAATATTCCACTCATCTATTTCAACAGACAAAGTTCTATAAAAAAAATGAGCATTCAACCTTCAAATCCAAATAAATTAGTTTTCTGCAGTTTAAGATGAGCATAAATGCATGACATCACTGCCCTGCAATCCTTGGCAAAGTTTTAGTATGTTAAATTAGAAAAAGCTTTTTAAATAGTAGTCTATCCAACTGTTTATTGCCTACTGCTCCTATCAATTTTAAGCATGGAGAATATAAAGTTAGATGTGCATCATGAACATGCTTTAAATCTCCACCTCAAGGGATAGAAGATACAATATATCACACTCATATCCTGGAAAGCTGCAAAAAAGGGAAGCTTTTGTTAGACAAAAGGATGGTTCTTCTCTGCAGCACTTCTAGCTCTCCTACTGATCTGTACCGATACAGAATAGCCCTCTGCTAGGGATATTCAGGGTAAAAGCAATCAGGACTACTTAAAGCAGTGTTATAGCTTAGGTACTAATACGCACTGGAATTTTCTTTTTGAAATCAGTGAAGTATGCCACTGACAATTTGCGTGAAAATAAACAAAAATGGGCATAAAATGCACTATGTGGCTTCTACAGTTAGATAAAGAAATGTTTTTGGTATATTCTTAAACTAGTCAGCCTCCCCTTACTGCTGGTGGACAATGGGAATCTACAGAAGCCAGAGTCATAAATTAAATTAATGAAATAGGCATATTGCTGAGGGGATGATCTGGAAAGTATAAATTGCTAAAACACAGGCATTGCAGCACGCACAAATACACAAACAAGTGCTTCCAAAATAATACAGTTTTGAGACAGAAGGGGCTGTGAAGGAAAGAGGTTCTTTAATAGTGGCCTACAAAACTTAGATTGCTGTGTGTCAACTAAATAGTTGAAAGCATCACCAACAATAGTTGTGTTCTACAAGCTCTCAAACATTTACAAATAATCCTTTGGGAAGTTTATTTTCTAAACAAACCAAAAGGAAAAAAACAAAGAGAAAAAAGTGCAAAACCTCTGTCTCTCCACTTCAGTGATTCAAGATATTCATTTTGACTTTAAACTTATGTATAGTCTCTGTTTCAAAACACACAAGTATAGTTATACCTCCAACAGTTTTTGCTGTAAATTAAATTACCCTACTTCTTGGTAAGAAAAAAAAAATCTCCGATGGTTTAAAGAGAGTGAAGAACAGTTTAAATTCAATTATTTGTTGCAATAAGCAAGACATTTTTGCATTAGTCCAAAGAGAAAAGAATCTAAACCGAAAATGAAAGTAAGATGTTTTATAAAATGGGAATCAAGAACTATGTGTTTTGAGACTCTATGGACTTAGCACTTGTCCTTATTGAAGCTCATCTGACTGATTGTAGACTAGTCTATCTGGTTCATTTTGGATCCTAGCCCTA